AGTAACAGCCTCTGTGCTTTTGTGTTGGCAGATTGAATGCCATCCATACCTCACCCAGGGGAAGCTGATCAAGTACTGTCAATCCAAAGGGATTGCTGTGACCGCATACTGTCCTCTTGGCCGTCCTGACAGACCATGGTAAGACTGCTTTGCAATTTGCAAGGAAGTTGGCATGGATTATGTTTGTAACATTGAAGCTACACCTGCAGCATTAAGTATTCATCCAGATACAGATCTCTGTTGCTACGCTGTTGCTTTCTGTGGAGGTTTCTTGCCATTGATTTGTTTTCTCTGCGTAGGGCTAAGCCAGGGGATCCTTCCCTTCTGGATGATCCCAAGATCAAAGAGATTGCAGCCAAACACAACAAAACCCCAGCACAGGTGAGTAGGTGCCACACAGTGGGTACTCCTTCATAACACAGCTATTTAGGAAAACAGAGCTCGGGAAAGGGTAGAACCTCTGTCCATTACCCAATCCATGAATTGTGGCACTCCTTTGATTTTTCCCTAACAATTCAGATTTTTTATTACATGATCTGCAAGACACGCTACCACTATCTCTTTGGCCCTACAAAAGATTCTCGACCCATCTTCAGATGTCACCTTCCCCTCTCAAGTCCTCCTGCAGAGAACGAAAGCCTTGCATAGACTGCTAAAAGCCTGGCTGGGAAGAAAAGGAATTGCTCCAAAACTGGATGGGAAAGGAGGCCTTCTGTGTGAGGCTCCACTGCTTCCCTTTTTGCTCTCCAGGCAGTGCTAGCTGGGCTGCAGGGATAGGAATGATTTGAAATGCAGCTCTGCCAAAGTGCAAAGAGCTTAGAGAAAACAGCTGTTGGAACAGGCTCTGCTTCCTCCAGAGCAGGAACCATCCTCTTTCTGACTCCGTTGTCTGTTCTTGCAGGTTCTCCTTCGCTTCCAGATCCAGAGAAATGTGATTGTGATTCCCAAGTCTGTCACACCACAGCGCATTGTGGAGAACTTCAAGGTGAGGGATTAGGAGTGAGCTGGGTGCTGTCCTTCAGGGACAGCACAGCTTCTCCCTGCAGAGCAAGCAGAGATCCTTTCTCATCCCTGCCATGTCCTCCTTGGGCAGCAGGACTGCACTTCTTCCTTCTTTATGCTTAACTAAACTTTACTGACTGTCAAGCCAGGCCTATTTTTGGAGAGGTTAATGAACAGCCTTTACATGATAATTCCTGTTCTGTGGTTTATGGATGAATCAGCAGGCACTGCTTGCTTGGAATCCCCCACACAGTAACATGCCAGAAACATCCTATATAGAATAAACAATCTTCATAAAATAGTTCCTGTGTCCATAAAACAAGGTGTCCTTCTATTTGTTAATTTAGTGGTCCATGAGTGAAAATCGACCCTCCAGCATGGAGCTGCTCTCTAATCCTGTCTTTCTTCTCATTGTTTGGTTTGTCCAAAGAGGTAATTTCCATCTGTTTCTCTTTTTAGGTGTTTGACTTTGAATTGACTCAAGAGGAGATGGCAACTATTCTGAGCTTTAACAGAAACTGGAGGATCTGTGAAATGGACATGTAAGTGACATTGACTGTTTTCTTCCAACTCCTAAATTTTGAATATTCTTTACAAGGAATTTTGTGTCACAGATACTAGGTAGAATGAAATTCAGTTTATTTAAAAATCACACCAACTCAAATTCCAACTGGTTTTCCCAAGAACACTTTTTCAGGAGAGGGTTTAATATTTTCATTTTAAAAACAAAACAAACAACAAAAAAAAACCCCAAACTACATTCTCATTTTGAATTCAGTTTTCAGGAAACTCTCTGTAACTTGAATTATAAAAAATAGATTCTGGATATTCATTTCATCTTTGTCTGTACTAGAGAAATGAGGACATATATCTCCACGTATTCTTCCTGTAATTACATGATGCAGATCTTGCCTTGGTGGCTCCTTCGTGTACCCAATGCATCTCTATGTAACATTTAAGTTATGCTTTTAAATAACATTCCCTCTTTGATTTCTTTCAGGTCCAAAAATCTCAAGGAATACCCTTTCCATGCTGAATACTGAAGATGGCCTTTACTAGACCTCTGGTGTCTCACATGCCCCTGCTCTAACTTTGAGCTATTTATCTGGTTTTCTTATTGCATCTGCCCCGGTACTGCCAGTGAAGACACAGAATGTTTATCCCATGAAATTTGGGTTTTTTGGAAGAAGAAAAGGGTATTTTCTACAGCAAAAAATGTGTGATGTAATAATCTTCCGCCTATTAGAAGACCGTATTTCTACTGAAGAGCCAAAGCAGAGGTGGGAGAGCTTGTACCACCATTCAGTGATTGCCTTCAGTCTTGCATCAGCAGAAACCAGATGCTGACAAACCACAAAAAACCCCCCATGGATTCACAGTTTCATCAGAGGTGTCCCATATTTTAAATAAGTTTAACTGTAAAAAGCAAAAATGTAATTGGCTGAAAATCTTCTGTCCAGTGAAGGAAGAAACCAAAACCCCCCCAACCCAGAGATACACAGAGAGGTTGGCTGCAGTCACCTGCACTGTGGGGACATGGATTTTCCCTGGGACAGCCACTCAGCACTTTCCCCTGCCATTCCTCAGCAATCCACATTGTCCCTTCTGTGCTGGCCACAGGCCCTGAGCCCCGGACACAGCCCCCAGCAGTGCTGGGGGCATTTCAGCTGCCACACAACTCAGGTGTCTGTTGGCAGGGGAGGCTCAGCCCTTTGGTGCTGAGCCAAACCACTGACACCTTAGGATCTTCTCCCCAAAATTTCCACTTTAAGTTCAAAAAGATACAATTCAAGACCATGTGTTTCCTAGCTTCCCAAAGGAAACAGCCCATAAAGCCCTCAGCAACCTACAGGCAGAAGTAAGACGTCCATCCTGCAAAAAAATACACCGAGTTAGTGAATCCAGTAAGGGTACAATATTTAATATGGCATGGGAGCTAAAGATGTAGGGAATTTCTACCACCTTTCACAACCACCCTCTTTGCCTTAGAAAGCTCCTGATCAAACACTTGCTCTAACTTTGTGGGCACAATCACACAAATTCATCCATATCCTCCCTGGCTAAGGGCACCACTTACTGCCTCATCCTACCCACGCTGAAGGGCTACCCTGCTCCCACTTGAAGGGTCTCTTCCCATCCCAGGGCACGTACAACCAACTGAAAGGAAGGAGACATTATCGGGGTTTAGCCACATCAACTTGCTGTATCAGGCCTAAGTGCAAAGGATGCACAGGCAAGGGCATGCCTGCTTAGGGTATGTGCTCATCGTTTCATTTCTGGAGTTAAATCATTTTAATTACCCAGTTTTTTCAGCTCATCAGGTTAATAGACAAATAGGCAAATACAAGAATTATCAAATATTAAAGTCTTCAAAAAAACTACTGAGAAGACACAGAGGGTGCTCCTGACTTGATCTGAACTCAGTGCAAAAAAGAGGCCAAGGTCTTAGAATCAGATTAAACCACTATCCTCTTGTCTTATTCCTGCTTTAACAAGCCTCTGGAAGTTGAATCAATGCACACTATTTAGCAACATAAACTCCTTTCCCAAAGTACCTACTATCATCTGAAAACCCCAGCCACACCCTCAGGACACAAAATCAACTAGCAGCTCCCATATATTGGCATGATTTGGGCAAGGTCTCACAGCAACAGGCAAAACTAAGCAAAATGCCAAAAATCCTCTCTTAAATGAGCAAGGCATCTCTCGGGATGTGTCTTGGGAAAACCAAGCACCAATCTTCAAAGGAGAACACGAGTTCACAGAAGCAGCAGCATCAGAAATCGCAGAAGAAAGTGAAAGGAAGGACAAATTGCACTTCTCAGCCCTGCTCTCCACCAAATCTCTCTCTGTCATCACACACTCTACCCAGCTCCTTGCCACAGGAATGCAAGGCTTCTGAACCTGTCTCCAGAAAGATGCGCTCAGAAGAATTAGAACAGTCCAGGGTTTCTGCTCTCCCTCAGAGGAGATCCCATCCCACTGGCCAAACAGCCAAGCTTTGCAAGCTTTCACAGGCTCACAGAGCACAGCTCTCTGAGAGCAACAGTTCACCTTGGTGCTGCTCCAGTACAAAATCTGACGGATTCTGCCAGTTCCTACATTGTCTTGAAAGCCACTCACCATTGATGGTTTCTGAATGTGACACTACTAACACTAATAAATTACCAGCACAGCACCACAAACTCAAGTGCCTTGGGAATACGAAGGAGAGCAGGAGCAAACTGGCACTTTAGCTGCTCTCTGGGCTCTCTTGAGGAAACACATTGCAGACAAGGCAAAATTTCACATTTTTCAATGACTTCTCTGAACAATGAACCAGACCAAGAAACTGAGTGGACTCAGGGCAGATCTATGGAGAAGGAATCCCAAATAAGGATGAAAGATAAGCCCAAGTTGTATAACTCTTATGTGATTAAACTGAAATACCACATCCTGCTGAGGAATTTGATAGCCCTAACAGAAAACTGGGGGAAGATTAAAGAGAAAAACTAATTATTTTGTCTGTCTTGAGTTAAATGAAGCAAAAAGACCTGGGGCACCAGCTGTGGGAGAGGCACTCAGAGAAAAGTGAACCATTGTACATACTTTGAATTTGTGCTTGTACATGAATCAGTTCTCCAAGTACAAGTAAATAGCAAAGGCTTCCAAGCAGCCCTAACATACCATTATGGAGCACTTGAAGGATCCTGCTGATAAATAATTTTTTTGTGAGCACCTCATTAGTACAGCATATTTTGCCTCTCCACAATTTCAAAGTCAATTTCTAATGTGAAATAAAGTTCATTTAACATTTATTTCTACATTTGTATATTTTATTCTGAAACATGGTTTGCACCTCCCTAAAGACACAGGCACAATGTGACCCTTGTGACACTTGCTGAAAACTCACAGCTCTTCTGTAGCTTTGAAAACATACTAAGAAATACTTTCCCCCAACATTTAAAATGAAGTGATTTGTACTGATTATTGCCTAAATTACTCACAAATTCACTTACCACAAACTGAAATTGTACTTGTCCCACCTGGAGAGGGAAACAGGGTGCTCCCCACTCTCACAAGCCATACTGAGGTATCTCTAGCCATCTCCTTTCGTCAGCACGCAGCATGGCAGGTTCTTGGCACCAGCCCAGGCCACCAGTGCCGTGCTGCTCCAGCCAAAGGCTCAGCCCTTCCCCGGCCCATGACTCAGCCCCCAGCCACACACTCGGCAGCGAGGGAGAAGCTCCCTGAGCTGGGAGCGTGGGACTTCTGCATCACGTCCTACCCGAGGCCTCCTGCTTATTGACACATTTTGGGACACCCCTGGGCTGTACCGATGACAAATCGTGGGCCAAAGCGTCCCTGAAAGAAACCACCTCTCTCTCAGAATCCGTGGGGAGAACTGCCACAGGGTGTCGCAACACCCCGGCACGCTGGCACAAGCGAGACACGCACGGACAACCTGTGGCACAGGGACAGGGCGCTGCAGGAGCTGATCCCTGCACAAACACCAGCCGGATCGGGACATCCCTGCCCTCAGCCCTTATCTTTGATAAGGAACTTCACCCTTTTCCAGCAGGGAAAGTCGCAGCCCCCCGGCCACCTCCGCGGGAGAAACGCCCACCTCGCTATCCCACCATGGCCGCCGGACGGATCCCATTGGCTGCAGGCTCCGCTGCTGATTGGGCGGTGCTGCCAGCGGGGCAGCTGATTGGCTGCCGGGGATCGGGGGGCGGAGCGCTGCCGGCCCGGCCATGGCGGCGTACGCGCGGCTCGGCGCTGCCAAGGTGCCGCTGCTGGGGCTCGGCACATGGAAGGTAACCGCGGGCACCGCCACCCCGGCGGTGCTTCGGCAGCTACCGAAGGAAAAGTACGTGAAAATCCCAAACTGAGACATATCCTACCCTTTTTCCCGTCAGTCCCCCCCAGGTAAGGTGGAAGCTGCAGTGATGGCTGCTATCGATGCCGGGTATCGCCACTTTGACTGTGCCTACGTATACCAGAATGAGAAGGAAATTGGGCATGGGATCCACCAGAAGATCAAGGAGGGTGTTGTGAAACGAGAGGACCTCTTCATCGTCAGTAAGGTATGGATCAGATGGTCATGGATTATGGACAAACTGGCTTTACCTGTGATATTTTTACAGTAGGAACCTAAAGTAGTTTAATGCTGTAGCATTGGAGAAGCTCATAACGTAAACGAGATTATTCCTGATACTGCTGTCTTGTTCCACTTCACGACCACAGTGATAGAGTTTGATCCTTTCCTGTCCACTGACAGTAATTGTTAATGTTGTAGCCATTGGACAGGAAGAGTGAGTTCCTTAAGAAGAATCACTCTCACCCTAACTGGTGGCAGCTGTCTTCCCTGCACATTCTTCCAATAACACTGAAGGGAGACAAGAGTCTGATTTCCCCCCCAGAATATACAGCAACTTTGAGCACCACAGACCTGTCGTGTTCTGGCACCCTGCTGAGAAGACAGAGTGCTGGGGGACGGATGAGGAGAGGCCAGCTGCAGGCCAATCTGCAGGAAAAGGCAGAGTGGGCAGCACACATTATATCTGAACTAATGGAACCAGAGGCCTCTGTTATGATCCTGCTCAAACACTGTGCTGCCACTGCACACACTGCCTTCGGTGTCATGGGCCAGTCCCATCCCAGAGCACACCGCATCTGAAGAGCACTACGATGGCCTCATTCCATATTGCCTTCCAAAGAACATGGAACATTTCTGTGCTATCCAGGAAAGCACCTGAGAGGTTTAACCCAGGAGGTCACAGTGTGCCTTGTTTTTTGTCTCTAGCTGTGGTGCACGTTTCATGAGAAGCCTCTGGTGAAGGGAGCCTGCCAGAAGACTCTTGCTGACCTGAAACTGGATTACCTGGATCTCTACCTCATCCACTGGCCTTTTGGGTTCAAGGTACAGTAGCAGCAATACCCATAGCTTTGTTTCTTGTGACTCTGCCTTTACAGCCTAACAATTGCTGTGACTGAGAAAGACAAGGACGTGTCTGTCATTTGTGTCAGCACTGCTCTGGTGCTCAGCTTTACTCTGGCCATGTGAGTCAGGCTCTTGGTCTCTGCCCCTGAAACTGCTGTTTCCATACCCTTTCATCCTGGGAATGATGGTCTAAAAACTAGGGGCAGGTCTCCCAGCTGCAAGCATAAGACAGGCTGCTTTCCCTTTCTCTTGCAAATCCAGTGTATGTTCATGCCAGATTTGCCCTTATAGGAAGGAGAGCTGCACTTTGCTGCCTGTCTGAAATTTTCCTCTGTGTGATAGAGAATCAGAGAACAAAAAGAAATATTTCTGGTTTCAATTTCTCTCTTTAATCACCAAGTCCTTAATGTGGTACAGATTGAGCTGTCCTTGTTTCTTCCACTGAGATAGGAATTTAAACTATGAAACTTCAGTGGGAGAAATTAGGCCCCCAAGATTAATGAAGGAGTTGATGTCTGTTTGAATATTTCTAGTTTTAGCCTTTCTGTCCTGCTGCAGTCTGATCTGTCTCTGTTCTACCTGTTGCCTTTGAGATGCTCATCTTTTTTTCATGCTCTATTTTAGCTTTATATTAACAAAGTCGTGAAAATGAAGCTGTCTTATGGTCACAGCAACAAACAGCTGCTAAGCGCAGTTCAGTCTTGGTGTCTTTTCATAACTTGTACACAAAGGCTCCTGATTTTCCTAGTGTTGGCAACTTTACACTGAGCTTTGTCATGGAAGAACTGTCTTTTCAGCAAATCTGGCATTGTGTAGACCAAACTCTTCCCAGTACCCAGTTATGTCCCTTGATGCCCCTCTAGAAAAAGAACAAAACAGTTCTTTTAAAGTGGGAACTAAAGAACAATACCTGAAGTGAACATGTGTGAGACTGAAGTCTATAGTTCTGAGTGGGTTTTTTCCCTTGTAGGTGTTTGGGTGAACCATGACTTCCAGGGGTCCAGCAGAAAACCCTGTCCTTATGGGAACAGTCAGTCGCAAAAATGTCACAAATTCCTTCCACTTCTCAGGAAGGAATGACTGAATGTAGACAAGAATTAGTGCTCTTGCCTGCATTAGAAGTTTAAACTGTTTTGGTTGTGAACTCTCATGGTATTAAGGGAACTTCTCGACAGATTTTCAAGCATTTTCTTTGTCACTGACAGGTAGAAGAGGGGCTGTTTCCCACAGGCATGGCTATCCCCAGCAACACTGATATTCTACAGACATGGGAGGTAAGTTCATCTGAGTGGAAAAGTCACATCATCCGTCCTCAGCAGTGGTGTTGGCTTCAGCAGTTGCAGAAGGGCTCGTGTATGTATGCAGAATTAGCTAGAAAGAATTCACAAAAATACATGGGTAGCTTTTAAAACTCTGCTTCCCATGAAGAGAAACAAGAGGAAAAAAAATGTCAGGAAGAATGTACTCGGGTCATGTCTTGTACATTGCATGCTGACTTGGCTCCACTTTGTGTCAGGCCATGGAAGAACTGGTGGATGCTGGTCTGGTAAAAGCCATTGGAATATCCAACTTTAACCGTGAGCAGACGGAAAGAATCTTGAACAAACCAGGACTGAGGTACAAGCCTGCAAATAACCAGGTAAGCTGCAAAGTGACTGCAGGTGAATACTTTTCAGGGATTATAAAGATCTAATTACAGTCGAATGAGGAGATGGAAAAATGAAAAGAAAGTAGACACGGCATGTACTTTAAATCCCACTCTATGGGTATTTCTTGGTACACACAGAACTTAAACATTTCCTTTTTGTCTCACCTTGCTGACCCACTTTTTACAAATTCCAGATTATTTTCCTAGGAAGCATTCTCTCTGGAGGGACGAAGAATCCAGATACAAGCTATCATTCTGACTATAATCATTGACCTTTATAAAGCCTCTCAGAATAAAATCCAAAAAGCACATAAGTACTCAATGTAAAAGTTGGTGCCCTATAGAATTACAGTCTTGTATTGTCACACAGACCACACATAGGGTAGGATGAAGACAGCCTGTAATTAGGAAATTAGGATTTAGAAAAACCTCTGGAGCATGGGAAGACTACAGTAGTTCCACAGCTCTGTCTCTGCTTCTGTGTTGGCAGATTGAGTGTCATCCATACCTTTCCCAGGAAAAGCTGATCAACTATTGCCAATCCAAAGGGATCACTGTGACAGCATACTGTCCCCTTGGCCGTCCTGATGGGTAATTTCCAAGTGGGTTTCCATGATTTCAGTCTGAAACATTCAGACTAATTGAGTAATGGTGCAGGTGTATATATATATATATATATGTTTGGGGTTTTTTTAATTGCTGAGGCTAGATAAAATCTTTCTGGAGTGATTTTTTTGTTGTTTCTTCCCTTACACCCCCCCCTTGTCTAGTTCTAAGCCAGAGGCACCTTCCCTTCTGGATGATCCCATAATCAAAGAGATTGCAGCCAAGCACAACAAAACCCCAGCACAGGTGAGTAGGTGCCACACAGTGGGTACTCATTCCTGTAACACAGCCATTTGGGAAACTATGTCTGAAGAGAGGGAACAGCCTCTAACAGTGTTACCTGTGAACTGTGGTGCTGTTTGGTGGCATTAACAAGCCATGCAGATTGTCCACTCTGTGGCCTACAATATATGCTACTATTACCTGTTTGACCCTCAGACAGGAAAAGATTCTTGACCCATCTTCAGATGTCACCTTCCCCTCTCAAGTCTTCTTGCAGAGCATGAAAGCATTGGATAGACTGCTAAAAGCCTGGCTGGGAAAAAAAAGGAATTGTTTCAAAACTGGATGGGAAAGGAGGCCTTCTGTGTGAGGCTCCACTGCTTCCCTTTTTGCTCTCCAGGCAGTGCTAGCTGGGCTGCAGGGATAGGAATGATTTGAAATGCAGCTCTGCCAAAGTGCAAAGAGCTTAGAGAAAACAGCTGTTGGAACAGGCTCTGCTTCCTCCAGAGCAGGAACCATCCTCTTTCTGACTCCGTTGTCTGTTCTTGCAGGTTCTCCTTCGCTTCCAGATCCAGAGAAATGTGATTGTGGTTCCCAAGTCTGTCACACCACAGCGCATTGTGGAGAACTCCAAGGTGAGGGATTAGGAGTGAGCTGGGTGCTGCCCTTCAGGGACAGCACAGCTTCTCCCTGCAGAGCAAGCAGAGATCCTTTCTCATCCCTGCCATGTCCTCCTTGGGCAGCAGGACTGGGCTCACTCTTTCTCTCTGGAAGTCAGGGCTACATTGAAAACTAAACTGAAGAAAAGATAGAGCTCTTAGAAACAGTATGCTGATAACGTTATCTGTTACTTTACAATGGTGTCTTTCTGTTCTGTGGACCGGTGGATGACACAGTGGGCAGGCTTGTCGCCTCAATCTAGTAACATTCCTCAAAATGTAGAGTAAGCAACATTAAGGGAAGAGTCCTGCTGTCAATAAACCACATAGCTCCTCTGACTATTACGTAAGGGAGTTTTTTTCTCATATCGGACATAGGCATTTCAAACGTAATGTAGTTGGATTTATTGAATATGAAAGTGTTGTAGCTGTTTCTTTGGTATAGGACAGAAAGATGCACCTTTCACAAATGGAGGATGGAGGCATTCTGCAACACTTAAGTGCTCACCAAACACCTTGGAATAGCTGGCACCTGTAACTGCAACTGTCAGTCTTTTTTGCTAGTTTCTTTCCTCTGCTAGTAGAATATTGAAAATCCAAAGATACTTCTTTTCCTTTCCCTGTTTCATGAAGCCATCACCTGTAACCAGCACTCTTTCTGATATGAACTTGTTCTTTGATCTTGTGAATCTTGCTTCTGATTTGATTTATTCAAAGAGGTGGTTTCCAGCTGTTTCTCTTTTTAGGTGTTTGACTTCGAATTGACTAAAGAGGAGATGGCAACCCTCCTCAGCTTAAACAGAAACTGGAGGATCTGTGAAATGATCACGTAAGTGGCCGTTTGTCTCCTTCAAACTCTTACATTTTCAATGAGATCTTCATTTTGAGCTCATAGGAACCGGTGTAGCTGTTTAAATTGGGTATATTTTGAAATCTGAAATCATTTGGGGGATGAAGCGTCTCTTATTTAACATCTTAGTGGAGTTATATTTTTTTACTTTATCGACTAAAGGATGAGTATGTGTCATGCTGTGTATTCACTGTAAATCTGTTCTCCAGGAAACTTTGTGTGCCAGGAATTCCAGAATGAGGGTTCTGGTTGATAAGTTTGGCTGTGTCCATATGGGATAAATGAACATTAGTCAGTTTTAAACCTAAGATAATTTTTTCTGTGAGGTATTATAAACTGATGTCAGCTCTTAAATAGGTGGTTGGGGGAGGGAATGATCATCCGTTGTGCAGTACAAAGCACAACTGCTTGCAGATATGCACCTTGGAACCTAGAGCAAGACAAGAAGTGTTGGCTGGAAGGCCGCAGAAAGTGCGTTTTCTCTGTAAGCAGTGTGAATTTTAACTCTCTATCTAGAAAGTAATTTGGTCCCACCACTGCTCAGTGCCTAAATAACAGAAAAAGATGAACTTGTTGGTCCTGTATGCTTTTTCTATACTAATAAGTCTCTTAAATTCATTCTGCTGCTACTCAATTCAGAGCCTCCCTTGAAGGTTCTATATTTCAGCCTTAAGTAATTTTTCCTCTTTAATTTCCTCCAGGTGCAAAAATCTCAAGGAGTACCCTTTCAATGCAGAATACTGAAGGTGGTTTTATCCTGCCCTCTTGGAGGCCTCTGGAGTATAATGAGCTTCTACCATTCCCTGAAGTTGCCCACTAGCTGCACACTGTCTCTCTCCTGCCAGCAAAGGCACAGTATATGTATTCAATGACTTTGGGTTTTTCTTCTTTGGTGGAACAAAATAGTGAAACTGTTCTGAAGAACAAAATATGGGCTACAATAATTCTCTGCTCATTAGATGAGTGTCTCTGCATGGCTGAAATAGTAAAGCAGAAAACAGAATAACCTAGCAACTGATTTTGTCTTCTGTCTTGCATCAACACCACTTAAGGCTGCAGGGTTAAAGATATGTGAACACAGAAGAAAGATCCATCCTGAAAGAATGATCATACATAATCACTGCCTGAAGATAAAAGACAACAATTAATTTTACTTCTAGAGCAGAGTCCAAAGCTTTCTGTGAAAGAAGAATAAATGGGAGAAGTGTCCAGACCTACAGATGCATACCAATTCATACTGGGCTTTAATTCAGTTGTAATTTTTTACAGGCTGAAACTGGACGGAGATTAGTGTTCAATTTCATTCTTAACCAAAATAAAAATATTTAGATTACTGCTGGTTTGGAAGTTCTACTCTAATGTGAAAATTAACAAACCAAGCAACTTGCATTAACAATGTCATTGGAAATAATTACAGAATCAACCAGGTTGGAAAAGACCTCTGAGATCATTGTGTCCAACCTTTGACCCAACACCACCTTGTCTACTAGACCATGGCACTAAGTGCCACATCCAGTCTCTGAATCCTCCAAGGACGGTAACTCTACCACCTCCCTGGGCAGCCCATTTCAATGTTTGATCACTCTCTCTGTGAAGAACTTCTTCCTAATATCTAACCTAAACCTCCCCTGGCACAGCTTAAGACCATGCCCTCTTGTCCTACTGGTTGCCTGGGAGAGGAGACCAACCCCCACCTGGCTACAACCTCCTGTCAGGTAGCTGTAGAGAGTGATAAGATCTCCCCTGAGCCTCTTCTTCTCCAGGCTGAACAACCCCAGCTCCCTCAGCTGCTCCTCATAGGACTTGTGCTCCAGACCCTTCACCAGCTTCATTGCCCTTCGGACATGCTCCAGCACCTCAATATCTTTCTTCAATTGATGAGCCCAGAATTAGACACAGTACTCAAGGTGCGGCCTAACCAGGGCCGAGTACAGGGGCAGAATCCCTTCCCTGGTCCTGCTGGCCATGCTATTCCTGACACAGGCCAGGATGCTATTGGCCTTCTTGGCCACCTGGGCACACTGCTGGCTCATGTTCAGCTTCCTGTGAATCAGAACCCCCAGGTCCCTTTCTGCCTGGCTACTCTCCAGGCAGTCTGGAGACACTTGGCCTTGTTGAACCCCATACCATTGGATTCAGCCCATCTATCCAGCCTGTCCAGGTCTCTCTGCAGAGCCCTCCTGCTTTCTAGCGGATTGCCACTCCCCCCCAGCTTGGTGTCATCTACAAATTTGGTAATGGTACACTCAATCCCCTCATCCAGATCATCATTAAAGATGTTAAACGGGATGGGGCCCAACACTGATCCCTGGGGGACACCACTAGTGACCGGCCACCAAATGGATGCAGCCCCGTTCCCCACCACTCTGGGCCCGGCCTTCCAACCAATTCTTAACCCAGCAATCATCCCTATTCAATTTTAAATGATGCCACAAGAGCATGAAGATCTTGTCCTGATCAAAAGTTGAATAACTTGGTATGATAAGCTGTGATTGACAGAGCAGTGCTGACAAGAACAGTTGAGTAAGACAATTTGCTTACAAACAAGCCTTAGTGGACTGTGGTCAACAAGCAATAGGAGACCAACACCTGAAACTGCTGGAAAACTGTAGTGGTATCACTGTGGACTGATTTGGTTGGTATCCTGTGCTGATATCTGGCTATTAAAAACCCAGAGTAACAGAGACTGGGGAAAGAGGGGAGACAGTGTTTAGCAGGTGTCAGATGCTACATAAAAGTACATAAAAGCATGGTGGAACTGGAATGTGACAGTGTTACGTTCTCTCCACAGGCTATTCTGTGCTGACTGACTGGCACAGTAACTGGGACAGGTCTCTGTTAACTGTAACTGTGTGAAGCTTTCCTCTGACAAAGCCTATCCCTTCCGGTGGAAGATGCAGGTGAGCCTTGCTGGGGAGTGCTAGGATAGCTAGAAAGTGTTTTGATAGCATGGCATTTCGGGTTGTCATCCACTGACAAACGTGATACTTCTTTCCCAAAGGCCCTGCCATCATCTGACAACCCCAGACACACCTTCAGGATAGAGAAACAACTGTGTCTTGGCATTTTCTGGGCAAAGACTCACACCAACAGGCACAAACAACAAAGCAAAATGCAAACCTTCTGCCCAAAATCCTCTCTTAAAAGACAAACATCTCTCATTCAAGAAACCATTGGGGAAAATTAAGCACCACCTTCACAGGCTGCAGCAAAAGCAACACAAAAATCTGATAGATTCTTGTGGTTCCTACACTGAGACCTTCTACATCTGGAGTCAAAGCAGAACACCACTAGCTTGAGCATCCAGGAAATAGGAGAGCAGAGGCAATCTGGTACTTCATCTGCCCTGAAAAAACAAATCACAGGCATGACTCAACGTTTTATTTTGAAAAAAAGAATTGTGAAGTGCATGTTGCATAAACCTTACTAGTCCTCAGCAAAATTATGTTTTAAAACAGGGTGCCTTCTGTGAAGGGCAACAATCTTTGTCAGGATAAATCTCCACGTGACTTCTGCTAATAATTAAGGTCAAGATAGAGATCAGGCATGGAAAACTGATCTCTGAGCCCAGCTAGCACCACTAAGTCCACCTCCCCAACAGTATGCACTCTGTGCAGGTGCTCTGCCCCTCTGATAACCTTAGCTCCAGTCCTTTGCCCACCATCAGCAATGCTTACCAGGAATGCTCACCAGACACAATGCCATGACTGGCACAGAGAACTTCCCTTCAGCTCTGCAGATGGACAGTGTCCATTTTTCTGAACTGAGGGAGGGACAGTAGGAAGGAAAAAAGGAAGTGTGAAACCACCTAGACTAGGATGGCAGCAGGTCTCCCATGCAAACAGCTTTCTTTTAATACTGTCATCAGCACTCCTAGTATCACAATCTTTCCATTGATTTCATCGACCTCTGAACCAAACCCCATGAGTCTGAGCATGCTCAGAGCAAATTTACAGAGAAGGAATCCTTAAAAAAAAAAAAAAAAGGCAAACACTGCATTATATAACTATTTTGTGATGTAACTGAAACATCACATCCTGCTGAGGACGGCTGATGCTGCTGACAAAAAAAACAGTACAAAGCTACAAAGCAGCTGGACATCTGCTGTGGGAAAGGCACACAGAGAAAAATGCACCATTATAGTCCAAACAATGCTTGCACCTGAATAAATTCACCAAGCAGGAGCAATTAGCAAAGTTTCTTAGGTGGCCTTAACATCATCTATTCTTCAAAAAACATCGCAAGAAACCTCTCCCAACACTAAAAATAACATTCTTCTTTAAATTTCACTGCTTTCTAATTTACTCCTACAAAGCATCTCACTTTTCCTCTCCTGTTACCACAAGCATCATCCCACCTTCCGAGGGGGACTGAGGGCTGAAAGCTCCAGATTCACACAGACACTGCGGGAGCTCTGCAAGAGCCTGGACCACCATCGCTGCCGTGGGGACACGCTGCTCCAGCCGATGGGCTCAGAGCCCTTCCTCGTCCCGAAGCTCACAGCCCACATCCGCGGAGAGAGCAGCTCCGCGGACTCGGGGAGACACGGCACTGACCCGCCTCAGCTCGGTGTCCCGGCGGCCGTAGGGCGGTGGCTGTCCCGTGTGGGCAGGTCCCGGGACGGGGCGGGCACGGCCCGGCCGTCATTAAAGGGCTCGGCGGGCGATACTACTGAGCAGCATTCCCGGCTGGAGCTATGGCGACCTGCGTGCAGCTCAACACCGGGGCCAAGATGCCCCTCATGGGGCTGGGCACATGGAAGGTAAGGGGGATCTCGGCGGTGCCCGCGGTCGCGCCGCGGTCCCTTGCTCTCAGCGGGGCTTGGGACTGCACCCGGTGCGATCTGCTCCGCGGGGGTCCGGAGCGCTCTGAATTGGGGATGAAGCGGGGGCACCACGGCTCAGTTCAGCTCGGTGACCCGTCCCCACCGACACCCCGGGCCGGAGCGCAGCGCTGTCGGTGCTCCCAGCATCCCGCCCGGGATACCGCCAAGGATGCCCTCTCGCTCCGGTCGTCCCCGCAGGCAGAGCCCCACGCTGCTTTCGAAGCTGTTTTCCCTAGCGTGCCCTCCGTCCTTGCCGTCCCCCTCCTGCCATGGGAGAGAGTTGACTCTTGGGTCTCCCCGGCCCGGGAAAGTCGGCTCCCTCCCTCCCTCACGTACCCGGCAACCCCCTCCCCACGGATGCGCGGATCCCATCCTCTCCCGTCCCGGCCAGGCTCCCGCGGCTGCGGCCTTCTGGGCCCCTCTCCCTGCCGCTCCCCAGCCCTTCCCGCAGCCAAGGCTTCCGTGCCGCTGCAGTGGGGCACTCGGATTGTCTGCTGCTTCAGTGCTGAGTAACTTTAATCCTGGGCGAGGTCACTGGGAATCATCCGTAAATAAGATAGGGCTTTAGAAAACCATTCATGCGTTTCAAGCAAGTTCTGACAAAGCGGTTTGCACTGCTGTTACAATGACTACAAAATCAGTGATCCATACAATGCCTGAAAACAAACATTGCTAAATCTGTATGAACAAGATATGCCAACATTTCTTTGTGCACAGCTCCTACCCTTGTCAGGATATAGAAACACATACAAATGCACATCTCTTCTGTCTCTGAAAGAAGCAGCTTCAAATTACAGGTGGGATGTGCCCCAGCAGGAGCTGGGCTAGAGCATGGTACAATACTCAGCGATGATGTGGATGACTAAGGTGTAGACCACCGCCCTCCCTAGCTGGGCAGTTGTTGACTGTTTCTCTTCTTAGACACAGCACTGGGAAGTGAGCACTGCTAGGTGAAAGGCACTGCAGAGCTCCCTGGCACAAACCTTGTTCCCCTGGTCCTACTCTGGCGAGTTGCCCTGGTGTTGGGGGCTCTGCTCTACCTGGCTGTTGGGCTGAGCCTGCATGTGACTGGGGCTATATTTAAATGGCTGGAGGCTGGCTTCAAACCCATCAGCTTGCATCTGTAAGATGAATCTGGCTTTAAGAACACGGCAGGGAAGAACTCTACTTAAAACCCCATTGTATGTGTTTCTTTAGCATCTAAATAACTAGGAAATGGCCTGTATGTTTTGATTTGGGATCTTAACCTTCTGTTTTCAGTCTGCAGCTGGGCAAGTAAAAGCTGCAGTGATGGCTGCCATCGATGCCGGGTACCGCCACTTCGACTGTGCCTATGTGTACCAAAATGAGAGTGAAATTGGGGAAGGGATCCAGCAGAAAATCAAAGAAGGTGTTGTGAAACGAGAAGACCTCTTCATCGTCAGTAAGGTAAGGATATAGTGACCTAGGATCCAGGGGAAGGTCTGCTTTGTGTAGAGGGAACTTCAGAGCAGGGGGAAAGGTTGTGTGCTATAGCGTGGAGTAATTCAGAACATAGTTCAGGCCAATACTGATGAAAGCTGCTTTTTGTCACTGTATTTTGTATAGAGTTATCTAAGATATGCTTCACATTCTCCATTTTCATGGGATTGTTCAAAGGATGTGTTAAGCTTAAATGGTCTCAGAAAGTGTCCTGGTTTTTCCTTGCTTCTGCTGGAAATTTTATATTTGGCTCACCACTGAAACTATTAAATTAAAAAGAGCTCTTTAACCCATATCTGCCTGTAATAAGTGGCTTTTGCATATCTTGACTAATGGAACAGGATCAGTTTTTAGTTTACAACCCTTTTTGATCACATATGCCACCACAGCACATACTGTCCTTCGTATCAGTGGCCATTGCCCAGTCCTGCTTACAGAGCAAGCCCCATCTGAAAAGAAATAGGGTGGCCTAATTCCACATCACCTTCCAAAGGAAACAGGTTCTTGCTCGAACAGTACAGAAGGGTTCCAAGATATTTAACCCAGGAGGTTACAGTGTGACTTGTTTTTTGCCCCTAGCTGTGGTCCACATTTCACGAGAAGCCTCTGGTGAAGGGAGCCTGCCAGAAGACTCTTGCTGACCTGAAACTGGATTACCTGGATCTCTACCTCATGCACTGGCCTACTGGGTTGAAGGTACAGTAACAGCAATGCCCTTGGCTTTTCCTCCTGGGAGAGCTCCTCAAAACTGCCAGTAGCACTTGCAGCTCCAGAAAGAGCATGTGTCTGGTGTGTACCAGCACTGTGACAGTGCTGCCCATTCAGCTTTATTCTGGCCACGTCAGCTACGCTCCTGATCTCTGCCCCTGAGACTGTGGCTTGCACAGCGTCCTCTGTCCTTTTGATAAGGGAGAGGCAGACCTAGCACTAAGATCAGGCCTCCCAGCTGCAAGCTTGAGTTGTGCTGCTTTACTTTTGGCTAAATCATCCTTCCCTGCTTTGTGGGAAGGAAGGCTGTACTTTGCTACCTGACAGAAATTCTTTCCTCTGCATGTTACAGAATCACAGAACAAGAGACTTCTTCTGTCTTCCATTTCTTTCTTTAATCACTGAGTCCTTAATATAGTACAGATTGAGCTGACCTTTGCTGTAGGAGTCTTAAAGTTGTTACACAGACCTCGAATTTCAAAAGGTGAGATTTTTTTGACATCCGTGTCAGAATTACATAAAGTACATCTCATACTTCATGTACTTCAAAGGAGCTGATGTCTCAGTCTGTGTCTAGTCTTGGCTTTTCCTTTCTGCTACAAAAAGGTTAAGGCCTCCATCCTATCTGTTGCTTTTGACCATGTCAACTGTTTGTCATACTTTCCAAGCTGTCATGGTAGGTTTTATTTGAACAAAGACCTTGTGTAAAAGTGTCATGGCATAATACTCTGACATTTGCACAACACTAGATGTGCAGCAATATGGAGATACGGGAATTTATTTCTGAGTTTGCACACCTGGGATTTTCTGATTTTCCAAGTGCCACTTATTTAAACTGAAGCTCCCCTCAGAGAGACCTGTGTGTTTACACAATACATTTTTCAGGAGATATGGCTCACCCTAAACCTGACTTAAATGTTTCTGGGACCTTAACAGGCCCTTCAAAAAAACAGTTCTCTATTAAAGGCACGATAGAGGAGTACAGGAAGCTTGTTTGTTCCACTTTGTTCCTCAAGTGGTGTGATTTGTTTATCTGTGTGTGTTTTAGTGAGTCACGACTTCACTTCATCCTGTCCCTCCTACTAGGAATGATTGCTGGCAAAAGACCATAAACCTGCATGAACTATGTAGACAAATATTAGTATTTTCTCTACTAGTAGTTAAAGCTAATGTTGTCTTCAGTTGTCTTGCTATTAACTTCCCAATAATGAGTGTTTCAAGCATTTTCTCTCTCACTGACAGGCAGGAGAGGAGCTGTTCCCCAAAGATGACAAAGGCATGTCTATACCCAGCAACGCAGATTTTCTAGATACATGGGAGGTAAGTTCAGTCACAGCAGGAGAAGCATGTTTTCTGTCACTGGCAGTCTTTTCCATGCTTTCATTACCTTTAGCAGTCACAAAGTTATTATGTATTTATCAGACTGGATACAGTCTTGTTTTTTAAAACATACATGCTTAGTGAAGCTGGTAATCTTCAGCAGAGCTGCAGACCAGATTGCTTGACCATAACAGAAACAGAACTGTCTTTACTACCATTCTTAAACTGCTCAAATACACTTTTCTGAAATAAATTAGTTTGTGATTTTGTCCACAGCTGCAGTACAGCCCCCTGGTGCTCAGTCAACACATTATTGTTTATGATTATTAAGTAACTTAGTGTGAATTTCTGCCATTTCAAGAAGGAGCCTTTGGGTTTGGGTGAGATGGAAGACATGGCACAAATACACCAGTGCGCACTTTCCCCCAAGAGACAAACTTTGCAAATCCAAATAGTTGTCTTTCCCTTCCTGTGAAGGGAAACAAAGACAAACCAGGAATAATGTCTTCAGGCCTTGTCTTGCATACTGGATGTTGACTTTGCTCCTCTTGGTATCAGGCCATGGAAGAGCTGGTGGACTGTGGTCTGGTAAAAGCCATTGGAGTCTCCAACTTTAACCACGAGCAGATTGAAAGAATCCTGAACAAGCCAGGACTGAAGCACAAGCCTGCAAATGTCCAGGTAAGCTGCAAAGAGACTTCAGGTGACTAGTTTTTTCAGGGATTATAAGGATCTCATTACAGTTGCGTGAGGAGATGCAAGAGGGAGAAGAAAATAGACACAGCACAATAACACCTTCTGATTACTTCTGAGTATATGTAAAGATGTTGTAGATCTCCTGTGTCCAGATAGGGAATGAAGTTGTGGTACACAAATTACAACAAGAACTTCTTAAAATACAATACTTGTTCTCTTATTAGTGATGGCACCCATCTCTTATTAATAGCAGATAATTGCTCACATAACACACAGTCCTTCTCATGCAGCACGCACAATTCACTCAGTCACCCAGTTGGAAAAGGGTGGTCAGTTTTAACTTGTGCAGAAGCAGTGGCTTCCTGGTATCTGCCCTGAAGATTTTTTTATTTATATAAAATAAAACATAAAGTGTGTATATATACACATATCAAAAAAATTACCTAGTCTTTGCACACAAAGCTGCTGCCTTCTTCTATGCTACAGAACCTGCTGTAGATACTTATCTCTCCCAGGAGTATTACACAGACTCAGACACCTCTTGCAGTTCTGAATTCATTAGTTCTTGCAAGTTCACATAGAGTACTAAATTCACTCAGTCTCCAGAGCCTTTCTCTGCATGTAGTTATAGAAAAAGAGCATGCTAAAAGGGAAAAATGCATCTCTGTCCCAAACTACAGATATCTATGTAACACATTCACACAAACTCACAAGAAAGGGATTTTTATGACTAGAATACATAAGGAGTGGTTACAAAGCAGATGCTGCATGTCCTTCTAATCCCACTCCACATTATAGTTGAACATAAGAGGCATCAGGGTTCTCAATATTTGCTCAACTACTGCTTGGAAATCCAAGAAGCATCTGAGAATGTGCCTTCTTGGGGCCAAAAAACTCAGGGAAATGCTTTTTCTCCTGAGCAATAACCCAGAGATACAAGAAATCTCACTGTAAAGGTAGGTGCTGTAGAAAACTAAGACTCAATAATACCTTGCAAAGACGAGCATATGAGGACAGATACCAACCTTTAAGTGCATTAGGAGATAATCCCTGGAGTGAGTTACAGCAGTTGTACTGCTATCAATCTCTATACTCTTCTGTTGTTAGATCGAATGTAATCCATACCTTACCCAGGAGAAGCTAGTAAACTACTGTCAATCCAAAGGGATTGCTGTGACAGCGTACAGTCCCCTTGGCTCTCCTGACAGACCATGGTAAGACTGCTTTGCAAGGGAACTGGTGTGGGTTATGCTTGAAGCACTGAGACACTAAGTATCTTTCCCCTGTGTAGGGCTAAGCCAGAGGATCCTTCCCTTCTGGATGACCCCAAGATCAAAGAAATTGCAGCCAAGCACAAGAAATCCACAGCACAGGTACACAGATTCCAGACAGTGGGTATCCGTTCCTGTAACACAGGACAAGGTGGCATTTCCTTCCCTGTCACTCGTGGTGTTAGGTAGCAGTGCAGGTGTGTGTGACTTGCAGTGCAAGTGTCCTCTGACTGTCAACAAGAAACGTTTTCTTGGCCCATCTTCAGATGCTGTAATGTTTCAGTCTTCATCTCAAGTCCTCTGTTACAGAGAATAAAATCTTGATAGAAGTTTGGGTGGGTAAGAAAAGACTTGTTTGCCCCTAAACTGAATAGGAAAGGTGGTCTTTCATGGAGGCCTCCACCACTTCCCTTTTTGCTCTCCAGGCAGTGCTATCTGGGCTTCAGGGATAGGAATGATTTGAAATACAGCTCTGCACAAGAGGGTATATCTTAGGGAATATAACTGGTGGAACAGGCTCTGCTTCCTCCAGAGCAAGAACCATCCTCTTTCTGATTCTGTTCTTGCAGGTTCTCCTTCGTTTCCAGATCCAGAGAAATGTGACTGTGATTCCCAAGTCTGTCACACCACAGCGCATTGTGGAGAACTTCAAGGTGAGGCATTAGGACTGAGCTGGGTCCTGCCCTTCAGGGACAGCACAGCTTCTCCCTGCAGAGCAAACAGAGATCCTCTCTCACCTGTAGGAATAGTTATGCTTTCAGAAGAATTTGTAACAGGAAGGCTAGAAACTCATTTTCACTTAGGAAGCCTGCGAAGTGCCTTCAAGAGGGTTAGATGGTTTTTTTTCCCCTTCTACAGCCCAGAGGGGGTTGCAGAGAGAGCTATGTTATCTCTCTCTCTCCTATGCTGGAGAGAGATAACCCTAACAGACATGTACAGAGGCCTTGGGAAGGCAGGGGAGAAACAGAGATGATACTAAAGGCCCTGGAGAGGGTGGGAACTTGCCTTTTCCTCCCTAGAGCCCGGTCCTTAAATAGCACTGTCAGGAATTTGTACATTTCTTGGTGTTCTGGCCTTCTAAATAAACTTTTGAATTCTTTCCACTGCCCTGGCATTTCTGGGGATACCTGCGTATCTTACTTTACATCACCCTTCCCAGCTTCTCCTCGGACAAGAGGACGAGTTTTTGTCTGTCTACCTACACACTCTATTGAGGGCTACATTTAAGGCTACAGTTGAAAAGCAGGAATGAACCAAATTTGGGTAACAGTATGCTGGTAATTTTAGCAGTCACTTTACATGGTGTCTCCTGTTCTGCAGATGAATTGGCACATGGTGCTTGATTGGCACTTGAGTGCAGTAGCACACTACAAAAGGCTTCGCATTAAGAAAATAGTCCTGGTGTCCATAAACTGTGTTGCTCCCTTGTTAATTGACTGCAACTGGTCATTAGGGTTTCAAAATAGATAGATTGATGGATAGTCTTGTAGATGTTCCTTTGGATCAGGACAGAAAGATGCACAAGTGGCAGACACAAGTGCTTTCCAAGTGTCCTGCAACAGCTGGCATGTGTAATTGCAACTTTGGATATATTTTTTTTTTTATTTCCTCTGCTAATGCATTCTTACTAATACAGAGAGATGCCTTTTTCTCTTCCATGAAACAGTAATTTCAGCTAACAAGCTCCTCTCCCTTTTAGACGTGTTCTTTAATTCTGTAGATTTTGCTTACTGTCTCTGGTTTGTTCAGAGAAGTGATTTCCAGCTGTTTCTCTTGTTAGGTATTTGACTTCAAATTGACTAAAGAGGAGATGGCAACTATTTTCAGCTTTAACAGAAACTGGAGAGTCTATACCATGAGCACGTAAGTGGTAGCATTTAATATTTGTTTTTTTCCAAACCTTAAATAATGAATACTATATACACAGAGGTTTTACATCTAAATATTGCCTAGAATGTCGAGAGCCTGAATGATAAAGTGATTTGGATGCTCCAAATGTACAAAAACTACACACTATATGGGAAAAAATCATTCTACAGTTATAAAGTTCAGATCCCGCCTTGGTGACTTCTCTAAGCACTACTAGAGCTTGATATATTGAAAAAAAAATTATGGCTAAAATGAAGTCTTTTATTCCCTTCAGGGCCAAAACTCACAAGGACTACCCATTCAATGCAGAATACTGAAGATGGTTATATTGTGTCCTCCTTCAGAGCTTGGTTTGATATTCTTCCTATCAGTTTATCTACCTTTTTTATTGCATCTCTCCTCCTGCAGCAATGAAGTCACAGCATATGTATTTAGTGATTATATTTTGGTTGTTCTCTTTGAAAAAAAGATACAGTAAAATTGTTCTAAAATAATAAAATGTGGGCTGTAATAATTTTCATTCAAAATGGGGAATTATTAAGGAGAAAACAGGGAGAGACTTTGAACTACACCTTCACATTTATATTTTATCTTGTTTTATCTGGCTAAGGAGAATAATCAGCAGTTGTGAGCATTAGAATAAAATCTGAGAAATGTGAACTAAAGATTCACTTCCTCAGGATGAGTGAGATAACCAGCAGTTTCATCACTCCAGAACTAACTGAGAAAAGGGTTTTTAATACTTTAAAAAAAAAAATCCATAAGCAGAAAACACACAGGTGCGCAGTGGGCAGTATTTTTCCACAGGTTTTCTCCCGAATGTATGGATTTTCCCTGGGACAGCACAGCCCCTCAGCACATTCTCCAGCGGGCACCAGAGGGCAGCCAGCCCTCAGCGACCCGCCTTGTCCCCTCCCTGCCGGCCACAGCCCCGGCGGTGCTGGAGACATTTCAGCTGTCACACACAACCCCGGGGTCTCCTGGCAAGGGAGGCTCAGCCCCTCGGTGCAGAGCCCAAATTGTTGACCTCCCCACTGGCCCTGCCTCAGGGGCCAATTTCCCTGGCAGCATCTACTGCTGTGAGCCCAGGGATGATGGCCCATCTAGCTCCATCCATCTCCTCTGGCAACTCCCTTTCAGCCCAGTCACCCCATCCCACTGCTGCCCTGGCCCCACAGCCCCAGGGCTGCAGCTGGGGGCCCCAAGCCCTCTCACAGTGCTGCAGCATCGTGGGTTTGCTCATCCCTATAGTCCTATGCCCACCAACCCCTTCTGCCTCTCTCGCCCTGGCAGATCCCAGCCTGGTGCAGGGACACGCGTCCCAGCAACCCAGTGATAGCAGAGCCGAGCACCTGAGCTGCCCACACACCTCTACATGCATGGATACCCACTGTGGAGCCTGTCTGGCACAGGGGACACATGGAGAGTAGGTCTCAAGGAATTGATCCCCAAATCTCCTTTCTACCTGACACTCAAATTCAAGACATTAAAACAATCAAGGGTCCTTTAACAACACCAGGTGAGATGAGAAGGTATTTGATTTTGTGGCTGTGTCACCTTTCTGTTTCCTACTACTGGGCAGGTAAACAAATGCATAATCTTAGACGTTGCACTTGGGTTTCAAGAGAAAACAAGCACCTTAGGACCTTCTTTCCAAAAGTTCCACTTTCAATTCCTGAAAATGCAATCCAAAAACATTTGTTTGCAGCTTCCTAAATGAAGCAACCCCTAAACCCCTCAGCAATCCCCAAGCTGAGGTGAGAGAGCTCTACTGAGATCAAATACACATTTTTATTGAACAATAAAGGTACAATGCTTACTATGATGCAGGGAGAGACATGGGTTTAGACCACCATCTTTTCAGTGCATTACTTCTCCCACATGAGTTACCCAGTGGCCATAGTGACTTCAGGGGTTTCCTTGTTCAAGCATGAATCATCCACCAGCTGCCATCCTCTCAGAAGTAAGCCCTTTCAGCATGGACCTCCTTCAAAGAGTGCACCCATGTCTCCAGCAGTGTTCCTGAGTCACAGCACTGTGGGCTTAAATTCTGGCGTGAGACAGGGTGTTTATATCAGTTTCAGTGGTAGCTGGAATTGCTTCTGGCTGGCACTGAGTAGTTCATGGTCTGCACTCAGGTCGCCAATGCCATTCCCTGATACCCTCTGCAATTTATGTTCTTTACATTCTACCCTTCACTTTAATTGAAAGAAATATTAAGAATTGCTTTCACCCTTATACAAACTCCACCTTTAACATCATCACAATCTTAACGTGTATTCATTATAAACTCCATCCCTTGTCCCTGCAGACCAGTAGTTAACACCTCACCCATGTGAATGTAATATACATCACAAAGCCACCCCTTCCCCAGCAGTCCTTGTCTCTCTGAAGCCTCATTTGCAGCACATGGCAAGCCCCAGTGCACAGTCCCAACACAGCAGGACATTTCTCTATCCCATGTTTCATAGCCAAACCCTCTGCAGATCCTCAGCTAGTGCTTCTGGATCCTACGTGTGGAGACAGCGCTACACCAGGCCACTGGGGCCCAGGTGTGGAGGAAGCATCTGTCTATCTCTTCCCAGTCACCTTCCCACTCAGCAATGGTCGCCCCAAGGTCCCTCCTTTCTTCAGGTATTTGCATACTGTCTGCACTCACTCCTGGACATGTGCTGGCTGTGCCACTTCCCCCAGTGTGTATTGCCAGGATCAGGATCATGGCTCCTTCCACAGTCCTCATTACTCCAGTTTTGGGCCATGTCAGGGTATCACACACAATCTCCAACAGCTACTGTCCCAGGCAAAACAGCCTCATCTCAGGGCAATCTAAGATAATTTATTGCCAATTAACAAAAACTTTATTTCACCGATTCAGGTACTGGGGCGGGGAGGGAAGAACACAGAAGAACAAATCAGTAAATGCCTTTCTCCCCCTTCTCCAGCCTCTATTTAAGCCAAACACCAAACCCTGTCCTCCTCTCTGCTTCCCTTGTTTTCACCATAGATTACATCCAGGCCATCCCAATCCCTCCCTGAAAGCAAGGGTGGCTCGGAGGGTGATGCCGGGTGCTTGATGCTTCCCTTCATCACTCAGTCCTGCATCCTGCGTCCTAGAGCTCCTGAGTGAGCGGGCTGCTGGCCCCAGGGCTGCTGCTGCCCTGCCTGGCAGGAGTGGCCCAGCCTGCAGGCCCCTCAGCAACTCAGCCCCTTTGGGGTGAGGTGCTGCCCTCCTTCTCACCTGCCAGAGGGACTGGGGAAACACACACACAGGTGCTTCCCATCTGCTGGAGCTCAGTCACACCAGATGGCAGCACTGGCTTCATAGCCATCCAGAACTGGTTCTGGCCACCCCGGGGCAGTTCATGGTTTCCTCCTGTCCAGGTTTCCCCTGACAGAATAAACCCACCCTTCCCACACAGTAACCACCACAGGTGGATGGTAGGAGCACTTGCTCGTCCTTGCCTATGGTCGGGGCTTATTATTTAAGCAGGTGGGATTAAAGAACAAATACTAGTGTGAAGACAAAAAGCCTTATCAGCTCTGAGAAGATGGGAGATCCACCAAGACATGCTCCTAGACTGATTTGAGTTCAGAGTAAAAAATAGGCTGAGGTCTTCTATGGTCAGGGCCGGCCAAGCCCCTCAGATCTGCCTCCTGGCACCCAGAGATTGAACTGGAGCCCCCCATAGAGCAAGATAAATCTCCCATTTAAAGATTCCACTTCATTTCCCAGGGATTCAAGCTTGAAACCCACATGCTCTCACCTCCAAACCCTGGTTTAAGCTAAGCCTGTATATGTTGGTACCTCTGAAGCTGCAGACCCTCACAGCTCTCTTTCTCCCTCAGGAGTAGAGATTGATTGCACCTTGCAACTCTGTCACCTCTCTACTTTGTGCTTTTTCTGCAGGCCACTGAGTCTCTGGTAAAAACTACCCCCACAAGGACATACCCACTTCCATTATTTCGGGTCCTGTTCTCAGGTTCCAAATACTGCTGTGTCTCCAGTCACAAATTGTGGTGAAATTACAGTAACTAAATGCAAAGTCAGAAAAACAAACTGAAAACTCGTGATACCACACATCCTGTTTCAGTGCAACATCTCACACATGCATAAACAAAAAAAACCCAACAAAACAAAACAAACAAAAAAAAACCTGGAAAGGCAACAAAATCCCTCCTCCCCTGCACAGTTCCTCCTTGCCAGCTCAGTGTAAAGAAACAGTTGGCCATGTTATCAAGGACACAGTACATAAGATTTAGCAGGCTGGCTGTCACACAGTGACGCGTGCAGTACTTCTTCCTCCCTCAAGGCCCTGCCACCATGTGATGGCCCCGGCCAGACCCTTGGGAGAAGTAAACAGTAGAAAGCTGATTTCTTACAGCTGTGAGGGGGAAGGCTCCCACTCACAAGAGTGAACAGCAAAAACAAAATACAGAACTTCTACCTGAAGCATCCTGTGACAAGATGGAAGCATCTCCCTGAAGAGAAACCATCAGGGAAAAACAAACCTAAATAGTAAGAGATAAGCACCAAGTTGTGTACCAGGTAAAAACACATCCCATTCTGCCAGGGATGGCTGATGTGCTGACACTAAACAGGAAGAACATTAAAGAGGAAAAGCAATTACCTTGCTCATTCTTAGTTAAATGGAGCAAAAAATATGAAGCTGCAGAGAGCAGGGAGAGGCACCCAGAGCAAACACTCGCATCTGAAGAAACTCTCTACACGTGAATAAGCAGCAAAGCCTTCCAGGCAAGTCTGGTTTTTTCCACTGTGCTGTGACCTCTTCAGCAGAACAGCATCTGCTTGTCTGAAAAAAAGTCAAAGCCAGTTTCTGATGTGAGATCGCTGGACACTACCATGTATGATTACAATCATGCATTTTATTCTGAAATGTCCTCAGCACGTCCCTAAGGACAGAGGGACAATATGATCATTATGCCACTCATGAAAAAGTCACTGCTCCTCGTCTGCAACTTTCAAAGCACTTTAAAAAAAGTCTTCCAAAATTAAAAATAAAGTTATTTTTTATTAAACTCACTATATCATAAACTACTGAAGACAGTAGCCTGGAGAAGAGGAGGCTCAGGGGAGACCTCATCACTCTCTACAACTCCCTGAAAGGAGGTTGTAGCCAGGTGGGGGTTGGTCTCTTCTCCGAGGCAACTATCAGCAAGACAAGAGGGCATGGTCTTAAACTGTGCCAGGGGAGGTTTAGGTTAGACATTAGAAAGAATTTCTTTACAGAGAGAGTAATCAGGCATTGGAATGGGCTGCCCAGGAAAGTGGTGGATTCTCTGTCCCTGGAGGTTTTTAAGATGAGACTGGATGTGGCACTTAGTCCCATGGTCTTGTAACCACAGCGGTGTTGGATCAAGGGTTGGACTTGATCTCAGAGGTCCCTTCCAACCCAGCTGATTCTATGATTCTATACTCCTAAGCCACAGTTCGCACTGGAAGCTGCATTTGTCCCACTTGGAGCAAAGAACA